CAGATTGGAGGCAGATTGGAGGCAGATTGGAGGCAGATTGGAGGCAGATTGGAGGCAGGGTGAAGAGGAGGAGGAGGGGAGGCGGTGGTTGCGAGGCTTCGAGAAGGCCGAGAGTGGGAGTTGCTCCGCTTTTAAGCGGCTGCCTGTCCGGCACGGATGATTGGAAGGGGGCGTTTGCTGAGCGATAGGCTGGGGAAGCGAACCGGCCTGGAGGGGGTAGCTTTTGGCTGACGTCTACCAAATTGAATTTTCGCGAGCTACATTTCAATTTGGAGAGACGAGAAACGAAAATGGTTATGAGTATTTATTGAGGTGGTTTGGCGCCCTAGGCCCCGGTGCGGCCTTCAGATCGGAGAGGCTCCTGCGATGGAGCGCGTACAATCCCCAAAAAGGCTGTGTGTGTTGATGGAGTTTTGCAGCCTGGTTTGCAGGGAACAGACGTCGTGGCTACTCTATGCTGTGACCGCTATCGCTATGCTGTGACCGCTATCGCTATGCTGTGACCGCTATCGCTATGCTGTGACCGCTATCGCTATGCTGTGACCGCTATTGCTATGCTGTGACCGCTATCGCTATGCTGTGAACCGTTTTGCGCTAACCATTTTTTTGCTATGCTGTGACCGCTAACACTAACGCTATGACCGCTACCACTGACGCTATGACCGCTATCACTGACGCTATGACCGCTATCACTGACGCTATGACCGCTATCACTGACGCTATGACCGCTATCACTGACGCTATGACCGCTATCACTATGTGCTGTGACCGTTATATGCGGTTATCTTTGAGTGCCGGGACGTGAGCGCTCGCATCACGATCAACCGGACGCTGCGGCAGGGTTATCTTTGAGCGCTGGGACGTGAGCGCTCGCATCGCGATCAACCAGACGCTGCGGCAGGGTTATCTTTGCGCGCTGGGAACGTGAGCGCTCGCATTACGTTCCGTCAGACGCTGCGGCAGCGGAGAGTGTTTGAGAGAAATGCGTGCCGCCACCAGAATCTTATTGGTTCACTTACTTTGTTTGAGATGAAGGTTGAAAGGGTCAGGGGACATAATGTTGGGTGAAAGAGAGCGACCTTTGTGTAAGCTTCCACTACGTCGAGATTATCACACATGACCGAGATCCTCTTTCTCCGCCACGCGTGATTCCACAGCGCGCAGGCCACGACCACTGGGAATATCTCGTGTAGGGCAGAGGAGATGTTCCGGTGGAAAGTAGCGGCCACGGCCCGGCAACCCAATGGTCCTGGAAGAATCCCCCAAAACCCACGGAAGGGGCACGTCCGTGTAGAAGCGGAGACCTGGAGGGGCAGAGACATGTCGGAGAGGGCCATTGATGTTGCAGGCGCCCTTACGCTTAGAATCTTGGGTTGGAGAGTAGATAATCAGGATGGTCGGGAAAAGCCGTGTCTCGGACCGCACGAAGGTTGAGTGAGCAGTAGTAAAACGCTTAAGCAGAGAAGCCATGGAAGGCGAGCAGGAAGATGCTGCGAGGAGGGCAGACATGTACCTGGAAGATGAGCCGGAGTTCAGTGCCGCTGCAGGATGGGCAGCATGATTGGGAGCCTGCGATCAGAAGAGTGAAGAACACAGGTATGGATGCCTTTGATTAGGAGTCCGATTGACGGCTCAGCGCAGCTACTCGGCCGGCTGCATCTGATAGAATCGGAAGATTAAGTAGAGAGATGAAGCATGACCGCCGAAGCGACCCTGGGAGCACAGGTGCGAGTCCAGTGCAGCGCGGCATACTCTGCCGGGCTGCCTCCATTAGAAGCAGGATAAGCTTCTGAGAGAGTGGGTTGCAGCAGTAGCAGTAGCAGCAGCGGCAGCGGCAGTAACCTCAGATAATAACGGCAACGACCTGTATCAGCCGCGGCAGCAGCAGCTGCAGCATCCGTAGATAATAACGGAAAAAACCCTGTATCAAAGCCACGGCAGTAGAATATGTTGTAGCTGTTTAGTGTTTCAGTAAGAGAAGCGAAGTGAAGAGAGATGACGAAGTACAGGAAGCAGCAGCAGCACGGCAGTAGTAGCAGTATGAAGCAGCAGCGGCAGCAGTAGCAGCAGTAGCGGTAGCAGTATGAAGCAGCAGAAGCAGCATCAGCGGGAGCAGCAGCACCACGAAGCGATTCATACGAACAGACAGACGTGTCGCGCCAGTGTGCGCTGCTTGTCTCCATGAGCCAGGTTACATACGTGTCTGGAAGAGCCGAGCCACAGAGACAGGTGCAGCCTGGGAGCCTGCGGAACGGCAGCGGCACATGTAGTAGAGCAGCAGGAACAGGCAGCAGGGACAGACGGCAGCAGGAGCGGCAGCAGGAACAGGCAGCGGCAGGAGCGGCAGCAGGAACGGCGGCGGCGGGATCGGCATCAGTAGGAACGGCAGCGGGGACCGGCAGCAGCGGCGGTCAGAGAACCAACCCACGGTTGCTTAACAGCCTGAGGAAATAAATCAACCCGAATCCAAAACATTCCCATGCGAATAACAGACGTCCCCTGGAGCCATCTTCTGCTTTGGTTATGGCAGATGCGCATGAACGATCACTGATCCATGCGTTCATAGCTCCAACACTACTTCACACCCATTGCAGATTCACGTTCGGCCCTTTTTCTTCCTGCTGCACTTTCAAAATGCAACACTGCAGTTAGTTACCTAATTTAATACCAGCGACCTAGCTATTTAATGCATGGTTTTACTGCAAGTGGCGGAACATGATCTGAATAATGCACATAGCTCCTCGTATATCCCTCAGACGATAGAGATTGATGCCATTTAATATGCATTGCCCCTCAGTTAGCTCAAACACATGTGAAACGGAGCCTGCAGACCAAGCTCGGGGCGAAAAAACTGGCGCCTGCAGTCAAGTGCGTAGGGCAAAAACCAATCGCCTGCAGCCCAGAACTCCGGGATTAATCTGTCCGCGGTCAGCACGCTCACTGTACTCACATGCCAGGAGACTTGGGAAAAGCAACGGGACAACGCGGCACCGCCAATCGAGGCAGGGACACGCACGGCACCGCCAGACCTTCTGCGTGCGGCAGCAGACCACAAGGAACGAGCCGCACATAAACCCGCGGAGGGCCCCGCGGAGCAGCCCGCAGAAAGAGCCCGCAGAGGAGGAGAGCAGTGGGGATATGCGAACCACAGCAGTGCAGGGACGCGGAGGAGGAGCAGACCAGTGCAGGGACGCGGAGGAGGAGCAGACCAGTGCAGGGACGCGGAGGAGGAGCAGACCAGTGCAGGGACGCGGAGGAGGAGCAGACCACAAGCAGCCAGACGGAGGACGCCAGGGACGCGCCGAGTAGCGTGAGTAGACGAAAACGATTCCTCCAGACGATTCTCTGCAAGGCTTCAGGAGCATGCGAGGCTTCGAGAAGGCCGAGAGTGGGAGTTGCTCCGCTTTTAAGCGGCTGCCTGTCCGGCACGGATGATTGGAAGGGGGCGTTTGCTGAGCGATAGGCTGGGGAAGCGAACCGGCCTGGAGGGGGTAGCTTTTGGCTGACGTCTACCAAATTGAATTTTCGCGAGCTACATTTTGAAAAACAATTGAAACATGCAAACGTAAGTTGGTTAAAAAAAAAACATCCAGTGGCGTTTTATTACCACAATTATAATGTGATTCCAAAAAAACGTTTCAATACCATAAAATCACAATGTGATTACCGGAATTTAACATCAACTTGTTGTATTTTTGGAGGAAAAAAAGGTTGAGGAAGCAACCATGAGTGTAAGAGGTGTAAACTCCTGCTTTTGTTAAAATGATTATTTGCGATAAGCATGGTATAGAAGTAAAGATTTTAACTATTTTCTTGTATAAACTGAAGACGTTAAAGATGTTGTGTTCATTAAAGGAAAACATAAATAAACTGTGTAGTTTTTTGTTGAATGAAACTAATTAGAAACAGTCTTAAGGTGTAATAATACTAAATTAACATTATAAAACTGTTTTTGTAGTATGTGAATTAACAGGAACATACAGTTAAATCCTGAAATCACAAAGTCATATTGTGATTCAGTGAAACAGTCTTTAACCTTTAAAATTAGCAACGGTAATGCCATGTTGAAAAAACGGTAAATCCCTGGAACCATATTTTCCAGCTTTTTACCGTTTTTCTACAAGGAAATTGTTTACAGTGCATGTATGAATTGTGCTATAATAATAAACTTGTCTTGTCATAGTCTTAGAAGAAGCCTGTCTCACATTTTCAGGAAGACTGCTCCATATTTTAGCGGTATAAATCTGAAATGCTACCATCCAATGTTTAGTCCTGGGTAGACTCTGGGTATTCATGCACACTGGTCTAATGCAAATCTCACAATTACAAAATATAGCAATTACAATAAAGGCAAGGCAAGGCACGTTTATTTATATAGCACAATCCATACACCAGGCAATTCAAAGTGCTGAACAAAACAAGAAAGCATTAAAATCATGAATAATCACAGAACATTAAAAAGAAAAACACTTACAAACAAACCAAGGCTTATGTTTGCTACTTCTGCAACATATTGGAATACTTCTATGGAACTGTTATGACACTTTTTGTGCAATTTTGTTAAAACTGAGCTGGTCATTACAACAGATGTCCGTACTTTTCCTCTTGATACTTCTATCTTAAGATCAAAGCACACTTATCTATCTACTGGTGACGCAACAGATGCTGAGGGGGGCTATTGTTTTTTTTGTCTTGGTATAAACGGGACGCAAATCCTGACCTTTGTAGCTTTTGACATTTTCTTGCACTTCACTTTGCAACAATATGAAGCCTAAACTGAGTTCCTTTTTTCTGATCTACAACTCAAAGATAAATGTGACCTTTCTGCACCACGCTTTTCCACTTGTCATGTAATTTAATTGTGATTCATTGGAAGTGCTGTGGGGATTTTAAAATATTTACTGTCTCATTCAGGCCTGATGGGTGAGGGGTGAGAACAATCAGAGGTAGTAATCACAGCCCATTCACACTCCTAAGGGCGCGTCACAAACTAGTCGCATATGTTTGGGTGGAGGGAAAGGGCCGGGAGCAGGTACTTTTCCACTGTCAGCAAGAAATCCAAACCCAGACCCAGAACCAAAGAAAGGATAAATAAATGTTTTTATTGTTTTCATTAAGACAGATCCTGTGATTTTATCAGAGCAGTGTTGTTAACGTTTGCAATGAAATAAATAAATCAACTGCAATGGATCCTCATTATTTTTGTGGAGCATTAAGACCTATTGTTATATTATTTTGGCATACTATGAGGTTGTGTTGTTTCTAAGTAGCCTGTACATCTATTATAAAGATAATAGAAACAGAGAAAGCTTGCTAGATTATTTTGAGTGCCTTTATTCAATGTGTAAATGTCAGTGTTGCAATGCCCAGTTGAAGCTGGGGTGGTATAAGAGAGAATATAGGTGTCCACCATGGAAACAATGGTCTAGTGCAAACCTGCGTTCAGTTATACATGTATAAAACTGCAAAGGTGAAAATTATCAAACATAAAAAAGTAGGCAAGGCAAGGCAAGGCAAGTTTATTTGTATAGCACAATTCATACACAAGGCAACTCAAAGTGCTGAACAAGATAGCATTAAAATCATAAATAATCACAGAACATTAAAAAGAAAGATAAAAATATAAAATCCCTCAGTTGTATGCACAGCTAAACAGCACAGTTTTTAACTTGGTTTTAAACATTGTCAGAGAGGAGGCCTGTCTCACATCTTCAGGAAGAATGTTCCAGATTTTAGCAGCATGAATCTGAAAAGCAGCCTCCCCATGTTTAGTTCTGACTCTGGGCACTAACAGGAGTCCAGTCCCTGTGCTCCTCAGAGTCCGGGCTGGTTCATATGGGACTAACATGTCACTAATATATTTTGGTGCGAGGCCATGGAGAGACTTGTACACAAGCAAAGCTGTTTTAAAGTCTATTCTCTGAGCCACAGGAAGCCAGTGCAGAGACCTGAGGACCGGACTAATATGGTCGTACTTCCTGGTTTCTAGTCAGGACTCGAGCTGCTGCATTTTGAATGTACTGCAGCTGTTTTACAGCCTGTTTGGACAGACCTGTGAGCAGGCCATTGCAGTAGTCTAACCTACTGGAGACAAATGCATGGATAAGAATCTCCAAGTCTGCTTTAGACACTATGTTTTTGATCCTGGAAATGTTTTTTAGATGGTAAAAAGCTGCTGATGTTACTGATTTGATGTGGCTATTAAAATTTAAGTCTGAGTCCAGTATTACCCCTAGATTTCTGACCTTGTTTGAAGGTTTTAGGGAGAGAGACTGTAGATGACAGATGACGCTCTCTCTTTGTTTCTGGGGACCAAAGACAATCATTTCAGTTTTGTCTGCGTTTAGCTGAAGGAAGTTGTTTTGCATCCACTCACTGATCTGTTGGATACAGTGGAGGAGTGAGTCCACTGGTCCATGTTCTCCTGCAGTCAGTGAGACATAGATCTGAGTGTCATCTGCATAGTTATGATAGGAAACTTCGTTTCTGCGTATTAACTGACCTAACGGCAGCATGTAGAGATTGAAAAGAAGAGGTCCCAGGATCGACCCCTGTGGTACTCCACAGGTCAGGGCCATATGATCTGAGACACAGTTTCCAATCTCCACAAAGTACTTCCTGTCTTCAAGGTAAGACCTAAACCAACTTAGGGCGGTGCCAGCGACGCCAACCCAGTCCTCTAGTCTCTGTAAGAGGATCTCATGGTCGACAGTGTCAAAGGCAGCACTCAGATCTAACAGGATTAGGATTGAGACTTTGCCTGCGTCAGTGTTTAGCTGGATATCGTTTGTAACCTTGACGAGAGCAGTCTCAGTGCTGTGGTGGGGTCTAAAGCCGGACTGAAACATATCAAATGAGTTGTTGATTATAAGAAATCTATTTAGCTGTTGGTAGACAACTTTTTCAAGGACTTTCCCCATAAATGGCAGATTTGAGATGGGACGGTAGTTGTTAAGTACCGTAGCATCCAGACTGCTCTTTTTAAGCAGGGGCCTGATGACTGCAGTTTTCAGGGCCTTTGGGAATATTCCAGAATGAAGGGACATGTTTACTATCTGTGTGAGTGAAGGTAACAGACTGCTCAGAACAGACTTTAGAAATCTAGTGGGTAGTACATCCAGGCTACATGTGGAGGCGCTCAGACTGGAGATTATCTCTTGGACAGTTTGATCATTTACAGGTGCAAAGTAAGTTAGCTCAAAGAGCCTTTTAGGCTGTTGGATGGTTATCTGTGGATTGGAGACAATGGCGTTTTTGATGCCTTGAACCTTGTCATTGAAAAAATGTGCAAACTCATTACATTTACGTTTGGAAGTTAGCTCTAATGGCATCTGAACAGGGGGGTTTGTTAATCTATTAACTGTTGAAAACAGAACACGCAGATTGTTGCTGCAGCCTTCAATCATTTCAGAAAAATACCTTTCTCTCGTACTACGTAGCACCTGGTTAAACTCGCACAACTTATCTTTGAAGATCTCGTAATCAACCTGGAGGTTGGACTTGCGCCACTTCCGCTCGGCCCTCCGGCACTCTCTATTTTGAGGCGGTGGGGGTGCAGAGACCTCGGGAGTCGGTGGAGATGGTCGTGATGTCTGTGCCCTTTGCTTCTTCTTTCTCCCTTTCGACGGCTGCACGCGCTGCGCAGGCTGAGGTCTTAGGGCAGATGCAAAGTTATCCATCAACACTTTTACTCCGTAGTTGTTCAGATGTGGGCCTTTTTCTTCAAAAAGCTCGTGCCTATTCCAGAACAGGTTAAAGTTTTCAATGAAGCCAAGTCCTCTGCGTGAACGCTCATTGAGTAGGAATGTATTTAGCTGATACAGACGGCTAAACTTCTCCATTTTTCCATCTATATTTGGAAGTGGGCCACTAAGGAAAATTGTTATGTCCATTTTCTTGAGGTCATCCAGTAACAGCGTTAAATCCATTCGTAACTTCTCGCTTGCCTTCTCATAGATATCTACCGCCCCCGTGTGGATCAATAATGTACGCACACCACTGTTCTCAGATAACACTCTAGGCAGAAGAGTTCTTATCTCAGCAACTTTAGCAGAGTGAACTGAGATAGTGAGCATGGACTCCATGTTTACATTTTTCACCGAACCATCTCCGATAAGGACACAGTTTGTCCTTGGTGGAGGCGCTGCAGTTGTTAGCGGCTTTGTTGTTTCAGAAAGGGGTAAAAAGCGGTTTGAAGTCTTCAGAACATTTAGTTGTGGCCTTATTTCACTCCTATTGTCATTCTTAGCTTTGTCAACTTTGGGTTTAGCTCCACAATAGTTCCAATAATTCTCATTGTTGATTTTGGGAAAAGAAATGACGTCATAACTTACATTTCCAGTCTGTCCATTCATCCCATTTTCACTCATTGGAAGAGTCGGGTTAAGTCCCATTTCTGTTTCCACAATAGATATCCGTGTTTGAAGAGATTTGAGCTGATTTTCCAAAGCACAACAGCCGTCGCAGACGTTTCTCCGTCTCTTTCGTCCCGACATGACTAAAGTTGATAAATTCCACAAAGCTGAAGTGTGTAGAAGGAGTAATCCTCGTTTTGTAAATAAAATGATTAAAGGAGAAACAAAAAAATGTAAATAAAATGATTCAAGGAGATTAAAAGGCGAAGCAAAAGCAGAGCCGAGAGACACACGACTGCTCTCTTCAGAAGCAGGAAATGCAGTAAGTAAAACTAAGTAATAACACCAATCTAATTGCTTCTAATTCTGTAATATCTAAACATTTGTGTTTTTTTTTTAAATTATCTTAACAGCTGTATAAGTTGGTTTTGGGTTTTCAAAGGCATTTTATCATATTGTATCACTGCTGCATGATGTATTGACATTATTACATATCTTTGTTGTGCATTTTAGAATAAGACAAAGGGCCAGAAGCACAAGTTGAATATTTGCAATGTGTCCACTGTCAATTTACTTTATCACTTTTAGCCCAGACATGTACAGAGTAGTTCCATCATCATCGTGAATATTAGAATCCAGAGAGCTATACTTCAATATCCTAGTACAGATAAATTACAGGTATAATTATGATAATATTAATAATAATCTTTATTCCAGACTCTTTATTCCTCCTCGTCTTTGTGTCAAAAAGACACAAAGACACCACAAGACACAGACCTTATAAGTGTATGCTTTTTATGTTATACTTTGTTTCTTGTTTTGCTAGCGAAAGATTTTTTCATATATATATATATTAATCTATTTTGTGTGGTTTTCTACTCATTGTTACCGTTCTGCAACACTGAAACTTCCCAAATAAAGGATGTCTTTAGCTTTAAAAAAAAAAATCGGTGTATGTTTAGTTTTCTGTCACCAGAGGGCGCAGTGCGTGATTACTTCATTTCCTTCACGCGCCGAGAGCTCAGCGGTTTAAAATATATGCAAACAACACGACTTTGCGTCAAACGAAACATTGTATTGATATTATGTTTCATGTTTTTTTTAATCGAACACGTTCTTAAAGATTGTGGTGAATCATTCATCGTAACAAAATGTTCCGAAATGACTGTTTTTGTGTTAATTCCCTCCTCCTCCTGCTGCATTCTCGGGCCACGCACTGGTCACGTTCGCCGTCAGCCAATCAGAGGCGCTCGTGACTTTAGCGCTGCTATAAATTCCGCGTGGGACAGAGGGGAAGTAGGAATGAACAACAAAAGACCGACTCTACAACGCAAAACCTTTAAGACTTGTTCTTATAACCACTTCTTGTTCGTCTACTCCTAACATACGGTAAGATCATCCACGTGTCTACTTAATTTTCAACCGGAAAAGGTTTTATTTGTGAACAGAATGCGAGCCCTGTCGTTGGTGTTATGGTTTCTTTTGCGTCACTAGATTATATGGTCTTTCTCTTGTCAAGCAAAATGTGCCTATTGTTCTCTCTCTCGCTTCTTTTTCTCTTGTATTTGTTTGTTGACCAACTTAAGAGGAATTGTGTGGACATACCTAGATATTCTTCACATCCGGTTTCCTTTTTTATTGTTTTTATTTTTTAAACTCTATGACATTTTATTTTATTTCACTACTTTTTACTTGTAATGAATTTCAATCTATTGTTGGATTGTCTTAAATCACAACTGTAGTTATCTCTGAGGACTTTACAAAGTTGTCCATTCGCCAACACAGATCAGAAAATCAACCAGTTCAAACACAGGGAAAACCCATAGAGCCATTTTTCCATAAATGTCGTAAATGATGATCTACAATGTTATAATAATCTTAAACATAAAGGTTGCATACATTTAGGTGACTAAGAATAAACTTGTATTTTGTATGTAACAACCCCCAGCTTTTTTGCATGCCTACCACAAACTGATATAATGGACTTTTATGCAACAGGTTTGAGCCGACTGTAAATCACTTTTGTGTCTCACACCATCTTGTTATGATTCCTTTAGGAATTTAAGTGCTCAAGATGGCCACCTCTGCGAGCACAAAACTGGACAAAGCTGTAAAGCACCAGTATATGGACCTCCCTCAAGGGGATAAGGTTCAGGCCATGTACATCTGGGTTGATGGGTCTGGAGAGGGTCTGCGCTGCAAGACGAGGACCTTGGACTCGGAACCTAAGACTATTCAGGGTAAGGCTATGATTTTTTTTTGTTTTTTTTTTCTTTCTGACATGAAAGTGGCTTTTACTTGGGGGCAATTGTAGTGTCATATTCCAGTCACGTCCGATATTGGCTTTCATTATCTGCTGACACCTGATACATCTCTAAAATTGAAAGGACTGGGATAATGGCATCCTTATTCTTTGATAAATGCCTCAAACTAAAAATGTAAATTGTGTAATTATACAATAACTATGTTTCTGCTGTAGACTGAATTGTTGTAGATATTTTGCTAGTCTATGATTAGGCTCTAGGGTTTACAATTAGTGTAAAAATTTAGGTCATCGCAGTGACAACATTTATTTCCAACAAATTCCATCAAATTAATTGATGTTTGTGTTTTCAGATTTGCCAGAGTGGAACTTTGACGGGTCCAGTACCTATCAGTCCGAAGGTTCAAACAGTGACATGTACCTCGTCCCAGCTGCCATGTTTAGAGATCCGTTCAGGAAAGACCCCAACAAACTAGTGCTGTGCGAGGTGCTAAAGTACAACCGCAAACCCGCAGGTGAGGCAAAACTTCAGTATTTACATAATATAGACCTATTTCCTCAGTGAGGCATTAGTAACAGCAATCTGATGCAACCTTATATTGCCAAAACTACAGACAGCGACTTAAGCTGTGAAGGAGCAAAAGCCTTGTGTTACGATACATTGCTATGTAAATAATTTGAGTAATTCATTTACAAATACACGTCACATTAAACCTGTACAAAGCTTGAGTGAATTTCCTTCCCATGTGATCATTTGTACTTGATTCACTTATTTAATTTGGCCAATTGCTTTAAACTGAGTTTCAAAATTAGACTTACTAATTAGTACTGTAGTTCAAGATTTTTACATTTCTTCCAAGATTAGAGAATGTCTTTGCCTATCAGGCCTGTAGTTAAGAAATGCCATAGAATACTTTTGTTAGATGCAAAACTAATACTGAAATGTTTTTTGTTTAGAGACAAACTTGCGTCGTATGTGTGAGAAGATCATGACCATGGTGGACACGCAACACCCCTGGTTTGGGATGGAGCAGGAGTACACTCTTTTGGGCGTGGATGGGCACCCCTTTGGCTGGCCCTCCAATGGCTTCCCCGGCCCACAAGGTTTGTATAGAATATCTCCAGTGCTCCTGACAAAATAAAATTCCCAGTGAATGAGTTTTCTTTTTCATTGATTAGGACCGTATTACTGTGGCGTGGGAGCAGACAAGGCGTACGGCAGGGATGTGGTAGAAGCACATTACAGAGCTTGCTTGTATGCTGGCGTACAGATCTGTGGAACCAACGCAGAAGTCATGCCAGCTCAGGTAACTATCCATCTCTTATAAATGCTACGGTTAATCCTTTGAAAATGTGTTTCAGTGTCACACCGTTATTACAGTTACAAATTTTATTCAAACAAAAGCTCTTACTGGTAGCACAATACTTTCTTGGCATTTGCTAGTTTAAAAATGTATCTAAACTCTAATTGAAAATTGCTTGCAACAAATGGCCATAATTTGAACATTAACCTTTGCGACCGTTGACTCCAGTTTTGTTTTTGGGCTTTTATATAGAACTGCTGCACCCACTTTTAAAAAAAAAAAGCAATAATTAACTTTGTTTGTGTTGTGCTTCTCAGTGGGAGTTCCAAGTGGGTCCATGTGAAGGAATCAACATGGGAGACCACTTGTGGATCGCCAGGTTCATCTTACACAGAGTTTGTGAAGACTTTGGCGTCGTGGCCTCCTTCGACCCCAAACCTATCCCTGGAAACTGGAACGGTGCTGGCTGCCACACCAACTTCAGCACAAAGGAGATGAGGGAAGATGGCGGACTCAAGTGAGTATTTCAGGGCTATTAAAAACCGGTTTGCCTTTGGCCAGTTGCATCATCGTATTTCCATTAGACTGTCAAGAAAATGTTAGTTATACCTCTGCTTAAAATGTATAATGAGCCTCGAGCTACTTCCTGACATGGCCAATATTGGACAGCAGTTTAAGAATCCTGAGCATTTTGCACTAAAATTGGTTGTATATTGTTGTGGGTTGAAAGATTCATATCCCAGCTATGTAATAAAATTCATCAGATTATTTCCTGGTTTTAAACTGGAAATCAACAAGTGTTTTGGGTGACCTGGTCTGTAAAATGTGTTATACAAGTAAAGATTACTTACTTGTATTTCACACAAGTATTTGGCCAGAAAATGTAAAGATTTTTGACTCAAAGTGACTGGTTGAAGGTGGAATTTTTTTATTTTGTATTAACAAAAATTATGCTTATTCTAAACCATGTACTCCTTCTACAGAATCATCGAGGACTCAATCGAACGCCTCTCCAAGCGACACATGTATCACATCCGCGCCTACGACCCCAAAGGAGGCCTGGACAACGCCCGCCGCCTCACCGGACACCACGAAACCTCCAACATTGGCGAGTTCTCCGCTGGCGTCGCAAACAGAGGCGCGAGCATCCGGATACCGCGCACCGTAGGCCAAGAAAAGAAGGGCTACTTCGAGGACCGCCGCCCGTCCGCCAACTGCGACCCATACATCGTCACAGAGGCTCTCATACGCACGTGTTTACTCAAAGAGGAGGGGGAGGAGCCTGCAGAGTACAAGTGACCCGCAGACTGAAGACTCATGTTGGACTGAATATCTGGCAATGTCTTTTTAAGGCATTTCTTTTTTTTTGTACTTTATGTTGTGTTGTGGGCCATTTACTTGTTATGCAAAAAAAAAAACACGGCCTTCTTTTTGGTGACTTGTAGATGTATAGATTGTATTGTTGATCTTGTGTCTTTTTTACTAATGAGCGTAACTGTTACCAAAGGAATCCTGTGGCATCTGAATGTTCTGTCGTCTTTGCAAAAATCAACTACTTTAGTACTTTTTATAAGGGTGCTTATTTTATTCATGATCAAATGTCACTTGAAATGGTTTAATAAAATTAACCTGTTTACTACAAATTGACTGGCTCGTGCTGTTCAGTATATTGAGACATAAGTAGCTATGTTTAAAAATAGTTTTACACAATTAGTCAGTTTGTGTACAGGGTTGTCGTTCTCTCTAGATGTCTCTGGAAGACCAGGACAAATGTTAGTTTGGCACAATTTACAAAACCCTTGTCATATAACCAAAAGGAAATATCGACTTGCATTGTTTAAACTTTCTCCACAAAACATATAAATATCAATTGGTTCTGAGATGGCAGTCAATCTTTATGAATACAAACCTTTTTATTCACATGTAAAAACTAAATTGCACTCATACGGTAGAATTTCTGGATTGAGACAGCTCATTTTTTTCTTTTTCATTTCGTACATGCATAGTTACAAGACTTAACCAAACAAGATGCTCAGACAAATTGTATATAAGTTCACAACAGAAGCACTAAAATTAATAGTAATTATGTTCAGTTAACATAGTATATGTAAATTAATCTTAATATTAATACAAATAATTGTCTTGTTTCATGTACGAAAGGGAGTGGGAAGAAGTAAAATCTTATTTAATTTCAAATGACTCACCATCTGAGTCGCAAAATTATCATTTACTATTAAAACGTGTACAAAGACAAAAGTAAAATGAAAACATCAATGGTTGTGTATAACTTGCAAACACACAACTAATGTAACTCTGATATTTCTGACAGATTCTCTTTAAACTGTTTTTTAACTTGAAATATATTATGACACTCTTTTAACTTAATATCAAGACTGTTCCACAAACTGAAATACAGAAACTTTTCCTTCTTGTCCGCACTTTTATGACTTTAAATTCCATTGTATTCCTTGTGTTGTAAGACTTTTTATGCAATGAAAACATTTTTTGAACATTTCGAGGTAATGCATTGTTTTTTGTCTTAAATAGGACTTGTACTGTTAGTAGATCAACAAGATCTTTGAATTTGAGCAACTTCGACTGGAGAAATAGAGGATTTGTATGCTCCCGATCAGTATCATCAGTTTATCACCAATTTTTTTTTGTCCTTTGGAACATGGAGTGAGTTTACAGCCACAGGAAACGGAACATGGACTGATGCTGACCATTTGCTGCTGTTGCAAAGACAGACGTTCTGTATCTGTGGTTGGTGCTGTTCAGATTCTTTCTTTTACACGTTTGAAAAAGTCGATCGAAGGATGAGAGATCGAATGAGATGCCACAAAAAACGTGCATTTGAAAACTAGTGTTAGAAACAAACTATTCTATGATCAGGAACTAGTGACATGAATTATATTACATACTTTTAATAGCATACTTTAGTTTTTTGACAGTTACCTAACAGTAAAGTAGGTCAACTCTGATTTAAGTCGACCGCGGCGCCTAGAGGGTTAAGGGCAGATAAGAAGCATGCCGCAATATCAAAATCATAATCAAGTTCTCCAAGTTTCACTGAGGTTAAAACTATAGAACTTCGGCGATAAGATGAGTAGTTATAATAAATTAAATCCACAAGCGGCATCCAACGACCCTCTGCTGCTCGCATCTCACAACTCTCATGGATGAAACACTAATATTGTGACAAACATATGTGTCTGTATTGAATAACATGGGAACGTTCGTACATTGTTATAGATATAAACAAAACAAATAAATACATGATTATAAAAGTTACTAACAATATTAACAACATCACTTTAGGTCACAGCATGTTATGGGAGTAACTCAAATAATAATGGCCATGGAAATCAAAACGCTATCATTATTTATATTTTTTACTGGTCTTGTCTTTTTCTCCACCCTTTTCCAACAGTCCCTCAGCAAACATGGACCAGTGATATAGTATACAGGCATGCACCCGTGCGTTTCAGATCAGCTGTGATGATAAATGCGATCCTTTTTTGAGTCTTGTTGCACGTGTTGTTTTGTTTTGATACGCGATGTGAACTGTTGGCACAAATGAGAAATGCAGGAGAAGCAGGTTTGATAGTGAAAATTGGGAGGTAAATGATTGTTGCATTTCTGTTTATTTGCTTGAACAAGGGCCTGTGAACCGAGGAGCATGTGTATGTATCAGAAATGGAAGCTGCAAGAACTTCTTTTGATCCTGACATGTCATTAGTCCAAATAAATATTAACAATTATATAATAACAAAAAACACCATATAGTTCTGCAATACTGGCCCTATTGGTTGAACCTCAAAGAAAGCCAATAAAATCAGCTCCAATGCTTAGTTGATGGACTTTTTTCTGACTAAAAAGTGAAAATAATAGGACCACCCTCACTCAGCCAATCTGCTCTCAGGCTCAAATAGTGACTCATGGGGGTCTTTTTTATAACTATGCAAAAGATACATGTTTCTGACAAGTTGAAGACAGCATAACGTGGTCTGATTTGTTCTCAACATGCTACTCTTATAAGACTGTTGGGATGAGCAAAATGTGAGAAATATTCATATTTATTGAGACAGTTTGAAGGGAGAGATCTTTAGAGCACTTTTCAAACATAATGCAAAAATAAACTAGACAATTAAAAAGTTGGAGAAACACCCAAAAAGCCCGAGAGAAAAGAACTCTCATGTCATGTCATGTTCTGAAGTGTGAAGTCATGTCAATACTATTCTTTAGTTAAAAAAAAAATACTAAAAAAATTAAATAACAGATAGACATAAGGCACTATGTTTGAAGTGACTCTATGTTGAAATGTTGTACAGACATAAACATAAAGACAGACACAGTTGGGAGACGGAGGGTTCCAGTGACAACAGAAACGTGCACATTTGCCAACGGCCCGGACGCTCCCAAAATACACTTGTTCTTGGTATGTTGTTTCCCCGCAGCAATGATAACCTCTGCTCCCTTTCCAAACACATGAGTTCATTTGGAAATTTTGGAAACAAGATTAGCTCGTGTCACAGGGCTCAGATAATAACAACACAGACTTTATATATCCTTTTGAGGACACTCCAATCAGTACTGTTACTCACACGGCAATAAAAGGATTCTGATTCTAAGTGAGAATGGTCGGAGAATGGTGGTTGACGGCACAATCTGGTTGCCTCGCTTCTGTCCGTCTGTCCCAGGGCAGCTGTAGCTACAATAGTAGTTTATCACCACCGTGTATGGAGTGAATGAATAATGACATGTGAAGCGAGTGTCCAAAAAGCACAAAATTATTATTTAATTTTTCATTATTTGTCATCTTTGGACGTATTGTCATATTGTAATAGGGGTTTGGCAGTATATGTTTCGACTTCAGCCAAAACGCCTTTCAGTAAGGCATTGTTTCGCACAAGATCCTTAAATTAATGGACACATTTTGGTTCGTTTTTTTCTTTCTGTAAAACGTATGTGATCTCTGAAAACGTGTGACCTGAGATCTGGTGTACATATCGGCCGAAGAAAAAAACTACTACTACATATAAAAACCAATGCATTACTATTATTATGAACATAATTTAGAATATTTATTAAGAACTCATATTCATTTCATTTTTTTATTCATTCCAACTCTGCCACCTGAATGTCGTGAGCTCCACACACAGATCTATTAGCAGCATGGTGGTTTAGTGGGTAGGACAGCTTCACAGCTTTTGGATTCACATTTGTATACAACCTTTGTCACTTCATGTAAGCACCATCATCAGCTCCATTCATTCAAAGGTGAGTGGTTTGATATTCCTCCGGTGAAATGCTTTTGCCGTGTCCTTGGGTAAAAGTCGAAACAGCTCGCCTCAGTACAGTGCTCTGTGAGATTGTATTTTCATGCTAAGGGATAATGATGTAAAGCATTTATTTTTCTGCATTATCCAGGTTTACACAACCTCTGTGTCTATTGTTGCTTGACCTCATTGGACACGTTGTTAAGACTAGTATCAATATGCAGCTTTGACGTGTGTAGGCAATGGTGGAATTTGAGAAGAGATAAGAGTTGTTTATGAAAAGAAACCGGTTTTGAAAAAGAAATAATCAAGACAAAGGTTCAATTTCCGAGGTTTGGAAAAATGGCTGGTGTTACATGACAGGGAAGATTCTATGGATAATGAAGAAACACATACCCAGACTATGGGACTCAGACAAAATAGCAGAAGAATTGTGGCTCATGGGAAGACTTCAAGTCCATTTACTCATTTTACCGATCTCCTTTCGTTTGGCATTGTGGGCTAAGAGGTCTTCCCAGGGACACGGTGATTGTATGATCTGAACGAGGCTGTCCTGTGGTTGTGGTCCTGTGATTCTGGAATGCACTGCTTTTCGCAAAATAATGACAGGAGACATATTGTGCAAAATCGACTTCTTATGTTTATGAACATTTAACCATAAAAGTCTCATTTTCGCCCCGTTCTCATTTCTCCTCAATTCTAAACGCCATTTTCAGCAGCCCCCTTCACTGTTTGTTACACATATCGATAGATTTGATTTTTATCATTGTTCTTTTATGGATGGTTAAACAGGTATTTTGATTATTCAGTGTTGCAAATTTTAAAAACAGGAGGCAACAGACTTGTTTCAACCCTTGGCTAGCCTTGGGTAAAATGGACCCGCCACAGTGGTTAAAAAAATCCCCTAAATACATATTTTTATGGCTACATTTTGATTTAGAGCCTAATTTAGGGTCTAATCAGGTGTCTCCAACCTTTTTCACCCAGCAGCTACTTTGCCAGGACTATTAAGCCAGAGAG